CTACCGTTATTGGGGCTCCTAAGGTGGGGAATACTGGCTGCTTGTTTGGCTGAGGGATCCAGCCCAAACCCCAGAGCCTGAGCCCCAGAAATGAGCATCAGACCTAAAGAACCCTCTGTGAGGCAGACGGAAACGGGCACTGCACCAAGAAAATGGCACCGTGTTAGAGTATAAAGCGGGCATGCAATATGTGTGGCAGGATGTATTCCGTGCCGCACGTATCCCACACAGTGCGGGTGTTTGGCCAGGTGCCCACATGGAGACCATTATTTTTGCGAAAATGAGCAGAGGAGATGTATACCATTCTAAGAATAAAAGTAACATATGTATACAGATATAGGTACCAATGGACAAGTAGGGAGATGTCAAGGAGAAAATCTCTCTCCAGCTCCTGGGTATTGTTATCAAGCTGGCATACTAGACCACGTCTCTGTGGCAAGGTCTGTCTCCTTTCCAGGGCAGCTGTGATTGTTTGGTGCCATGGGAATTCTGTGGGAAAAGACTGGTTTGTGAGACAACCAGATGTATCTGACATATTATCAGCCCATCAAAAGGGGAGATTTTGGCAGCTTTAGGGGGGATCTTTGGGGGTAGAAAGCGATCTGATTTGTACCTCAGAAGTTCTGGGTTTGGAGGATGCCCTGGGCTGTAGCAGTGGTGGCCAGACATGCCTGGCCAATGGATGGTGGAGCCTGACAGCTGGTAGGTGATGGTACACATAGACTGTGCTGGATAAAAACATAAACCCTTTCGTGCCATACGCAAATCCACTCCACACACAGCTCCTAACAACCACACCGGGTAATGTGCAATTATGGATGTCCAATGGGGTTGCCAGAGAGATTAAATTTGTTAAAGAGAAGATAAGAGCTATTTTGGTGCACACACAGAGCTCCATAGGTTTGGAGCTCAGTTATTGTAACAGGAGAACCACAGAAGCAGGAAAGTGCCTCTCGTTCAAAAGAGAAACACTCGCAGGCGAGTCTCCATGGCAGGCAAGTCCCCATCCAAGTCCCCATCCAATTCCCCATCGTAGAATGCCAGGCTGCCAGGAGATGGGTGTCTAAGCGGGCAGCCCTGGGAAGGATTTGATCCGTTGTTCAAATGACTCCAGGAGCATGGTGAAGGATGTGCCTGAAGAAGCTGCAAATCTACTCACCAATTTTGGGCCGAGCCTGGGGAAGAAACAGGCAGAACTGGGGACCACATCCCTAGTCTCTAATGCGGGATAGAGAATGCAAAGTGCAGCCCCTGGGGCTGGCCGACTGCACTCTCTGGTCTTCCCTGTTCTTGACTGGCTTTCTGGTGCCTCTTAGCACCTAGCTCTTTCACTCGCGAAGGCATCTGTCTCTGAGGCGGTCTCTGCCTCTCAGCGCTCTCTCAGTTTCTCTCTCTGCTCTTTCTCTCACTGCCTCTTTAGTTCTTTTTACTGTTCTGAATCATATGGCCACAGAGAAACACAGCCAGATCCAGGAGCAGATACAAAAATAAATGCATAGTGTAGATGCAGAGGTCACTGGAGATAAAGCCTATCCATTTTGCTGGTCTAGATATATCTATGTGACGACACATTTTCATTTTGGGGTAAAAATCTAAGTACAACATTGAGATTTTGTTTCCTTGCAGTCTTTTGGCAGCTGTCTCTCTGGGTGTCTGAAATCCCAGCTGCTGATCTATTGGCAGCCATGTGCTAGCAGAATCCCATCCAGCAAGGCAGAGGAAGGGGTACCCAACTCAGCAGGGCAAGCCATGGAACAATATGAAGGAAAAGCAATGACGACTGTGAAGGTCCCACTTCCCAAGCCTGGATCTGGTATAAGAAGTGTCTTAGTAAAAGAGGTACAGAACGCGCAAAGGGAGGCAGTGGTGTGACTGACCCCCTAGAGACCTAGGCAGCCTGTGGAGATCTAGCGGGGAGGGGTGGGCGTGGGAGGGGGGAGGGGGGAGCCAGAGACTGAATGGGCTGATGGCTGCACAACCCGGGAGAGGAGAGGAGAGGAGACAGGAGATGGAGGGCTCCCGGCTCAGCCCCTGGCGTGAGAAAGGGAGGTGGAGAAGGAAGGAAGGATGTAAGTGAGGCTCTGAAATCCCAGCCACTGGTCCATGGCAGCCATGCGCCAGCAGAATCCCACCCAGCAAGGCAAAGGAAGAGAAGAGGTGCCCAGCTCAGCAGGGCAAGCGATGGGAACAATATGAAGGAAAAGCCATGACAAAGTTAAGATTGCCATTGCTTTCTTCACGCCGTTTATGCTTACCCTGTGGTGGTTGGAGTAAATGATGCTTCTGCTCAGGTCCCTTGACCATTTACTAAGTGGTGGAAAGAGGGCAGAGGACTTGGTACTGTCCTTGGGTTGGGCTCTGGAGCCAGCAGACCACTGGGGAAGGCCTGAGCCCGCAGGCTGCCCCAAGCCCAAGCCTGAGTGAACCTAGAGAACTCATCCCTCTGGCTTCCAGATCCTTGTTTTCTCTGAGATCCAGATTCTGAGTGACTCTGTGTGAGTTCACCACTCTGTTCCTGGCTTCTCCACTCTCTTGAACTGTGGATCTGCCTCTCTCCATCTCTGTCATTGCTTCGTAGCTTTCCTGGCTTCATCTGTCTCTGTCCTCAGGTCTCTGTCTCTCACTATCCCTCCCTTTGTTAATTCAAAGTATTCTCACTGAGCCCCTCCCTAGGCTTCACAGAATAACATTGAGTAAAACGAGATAAAACCCGCCTGCAGGTTTTTTTTTTCCCTTGTCCTATTCCCCTCAGCCCCCTCCTCTGGGGCTACAACCCCCTCTTATAATGTCAGATAATTGCTGGTGTGCAGCTCTGAGAAGCCAGAGCTGATACCAGAGAAGGAGAGAGGGGGAGAGAAATAAATAATAATCTGCTTCCATTCAGCGTATATAGGTTACCTGATTTGCATATATGCTAATATTGCTATAATTACCCTGCTGTTCTGGCCTATGATCAAGTTCTATAAATACATAGGATAGCAGAGCTAGGCCTAGCAACACCACCCTGAAGATTATCCAGTAAACATACATATGCATCTGTGTGCCTTTCTGTGCCCTTTACATCTATGAGCCTCTCTTAGACACAACACACTCCCTGACAGATCCTCCTAGCTCTTCCAGCTTTTCGTTGCCCCTCTCATGTTTAAAGGCCCCTCCAAGGAAGGAGGAAAGAGAAGCCTGAATGTGAAGATATTCTAGGTTATATTTAAATTCTTAGAATCAGTATCATTATGATTAAGTTATAACTATTTTATTAGGAAAATCAAAGATTTCCCCAAATTATTGAATTAGTTTATTATTACCTGAATGCCCCCACCTCCTACAGGCCCATGCTTTGGGGTACAGGTTGGGGGATAGGAAGAGGATATCTCCCTATTCCTAGGCCTGTCACAATATCTGAGAAAGTGCTGTCTATGGGAGAGGAAGTGGAACCCCCTTCCCCAAATCTGCCCCCCAGCCTCACTCTCTTAGCAAACTCCCCACTCTCAGGAAACCAGGGGGAAGATGCTCACGGAGTTGTGCAGATTTTTGGGTGCCAGTGGCAGAAGTGGGGAGGAAGCTTGGAAGAACATAAAAGACGCAATCCACAGCTGTCTGCTTTTAATTATAATTATCCCCTTTCGCTTCCTTTCTGGCTAATGAGGGGGGGATTAAATTTTTTTTCTCCCTCTCTCCCCCTCCCTCTTTTCTCTGGAATTGAGGGGTGGAGTGAGTTCAGGGTCCTCCTCCCCTTCCTCCCCAATCCCCTGGTTACGGGGAGACAGGCAGACTCCAGAGGGTGGTGACAGAATGAAGAGATTTGTAGGAACAAAGGAAGGACAGGTTTGGATTGCTGGACACGTCCCAGAGTTGGAGAGACCCCCCCCCATTCCACTAGCACCCCCTCCCTTCAACCCCCAGCTCCCTAGACAAGGAACTCAATGTCTTCCAGGCGGTGAGAAAGGAGCTAAAGGGAGCCCTGGTCTAGAGGGAAGGAGGAGGGAAGGGGTGGGGAGCTGGGGGTGGGGGGTGCAAAATTAGTCTCAAAGGATCTTTATTTCTGAGCTAGTGAAGCAGATGTAATCAAGGGGAGAGCAAAATAATCATAATGGGAGGAATGAGGGGCGGGGGAAGCTGAGGCTGGAATGGGGGGACTGGGCCAGGACAGGGCTGAGAACCGGGGGCAGGGAGCCTTGAGTGGGGGCTGTCTGTTATCTGCTCCCACCTCCCCAAAGTCTCCCTACCTTGGGGTGGGGAAAGGAGGACCGTGTCTATAGACTCTGACCTTTGCCCTCAGAATCCCTCTTTCAGAGCTTAGGGATGGCCGGGCCAGAAGGTGGCTGGGAAGGCACCAGGGAGAAGAGAGCCCCCCGCCCCAGCCGAGGGAGGTGGTGAGGAGAGGGGAGACTGAAAGCAGTGGGGGAGGGTGAGAGAGGGGAGCCGGCCGAGACTCAAGTGGCCTCCAGGTCTGCGGGACAAAAGTTGGAGGGAGATTTGTGTATGAGAGAAGAGGGGAGGGGGCCTCGGGGAAGGGGGGGCTTTGACAATGAACTTGAGACAAACTTCATTAGCATGCAGGCCTGCTGTCTGTCACGTCGAGCTCAGACTGAGTTCCCATGCAGGCCAGGAAGAGTGGGAGGGAGGGAAAGGGAGGGGCTGAAGGTGGGGGTGAGGGAGAGAAAAGAGACCGGACTGTTGTACCATTCTGGGCCCCAGCTTCCACCAAGTATCGGGACCCCAGCCCTGGAAACCAGCCCCCAAATCGCTCTCCTCTTCTAGGAACAAGATAATTTATCTCCCACTTTGAATCTGTGGTCCCACCCCTCCTCTTGTCTAGACTTCCAAGTGCCGGCTTTTACCGCCCTGCCCCACCTTGCTCCCCCCTCGAGCTCTCAGCCTTCATCTTCGGATCGCCACGCTCCTTCACGGCTAAGGTCTGGATGTGTGCTTCCTTGAGCTGACGAGGACAAGGAGCTGGGGGAGGTCTGGGAACAGGAGACTGGAATACTTTGACCCTCCAAATGACAAACTGCGTCCTCTTTCTATCACTCTTTATCAACTCCACTCCCCACCCTAGACACGCATCATTTAATCACGGTCTCAAGTTCGAAGGTGAATTAGAACTGGGAGGAGGCTGGGAACGGGGTATCCCGTCACACCCTTTCTCTTGCTTCCTTTGGGAATGAGGGGTCCTGGAGGAACAATAGCTTTCCTTAGTCCCTTCTTCCTGCCTCAGGTTAGAAAAGACAGTAGGAGGAGATGGGAAAGAGTGGAGATGACAAAGACCCCTTCCCTGACAGGCATGAGATGGGAGAAGGAGGGGCTTCATCAGAGTAGGCTTTTATCCTGGGGGTGGTGGTGTCTCCAGACAGGGGCAGCACCCCCTGTTCGCTGCCTTTCCAGGGAGAGCAGCACGAGAAAGAAAGAGGGAGGCAAGCGAAATTCCTGAATGGATAGACAGATGCTACGTCATCGGAGCTGCATCCTCCACTCCACAAGAGGCTAGGAGCCGGGAGAAAGAGGCAGGCCAGCGGCAGGGGCCACCGAGCCAGCGCTCCTCCTCCCAGAAGCCGGTAAGTGGCCATTCATTCGGAAGGGTCCTAGCCCCTCAGGCATCCGGGCTGGGGGTGGGAAGGGATCCTCTAAAATCAGTTAGGGCGTCCTACCCTCCTACTTTGCCCACTGGCTAATGGAGGCGGGTGCAGGAATCACAGAAAGGCTGAGAAAAGATTGAGGGGGTGACCAAAAGGGAAGACGCGCGCGCGTGTGTGTGTGTGTGTGTGTGTGTGTGTGTGTGTAGGAGTAGCTAGCAGAGTGGGATTTCATCTCCTGCTTCCCCATCTATCTGTCGAGGGGAGCTGAGGCAGGGCCCTGCCCAGCTGCCCCAGAGCGCCTCTTGATCTCCCTCCTCCCCGCTAGCCCCGGCCAACCCGGAGACAGCTCACTAAGTTTGTCAATGGGATTCAGGGGGGCTTTAGGGTCACGGTGCTACTGATCCTATTAATCCGCCCCTCCCTTCTCTCCACCAGACAGGGCCAACATCTTAATGCTTGCACAAGAGAGGCAGGAAGGAAGATTGTAGCGGAGATGTGAGGGAAGAGAAAAAATGGTTCTGTATTCAGACTCCTGACCTTCTTTCCTTGCTCTAGCTGTTACTCCTCTCTGCCCCAGAGACTTCAGGGTCTAGGGGGGGACAAAGTCTGAGGGACTGGGGTCACTGGGGGCTGGGGAAGGAGCCATATCTCTAAAAGGGAGGAGACCAGAATTAGGGGGAAAAAAAAAAACACTTGTAGAATTTAGATTAATTTTATTTCCCCCCTTCTTGCTTTTCTCATGAGCTGGGAGGTGAGAAAAGGGCTGAGGGGAGCTTAAAGGCAAGTGAGGTGTTGGGGCAGATGCTTAGGTTCAAAAAGGGGAGAGAACCCTGCTCCAGCCCTCAGGAGACCCATCTGATGGTGGCTTTTTAATTTCTGGTGTTTTAAGAAGGGTCAGAGGAGATGGAAAAGAGGCACTATTCTTATCTCTAGTCCCCATCCACAGGGTGCTTTCTGGGAGGCAGGCTGGGACGATCGTGGGGTAGTAGAGGCTGGAGGCCAGCAGGTTATTTCTGGTTCCCCAGAAGCCAGATGTCTGGGAGAGGCTGAGGCTACCAGCCACAGAACAAGCACACACATATTCCATGCCTCCTGGGGTGTGGTCCTTGTCACCACATCCCCCTGCACATTATGTGTGTGTGAGAGGGTAGAGTGGGGTGTGGGGCACAGGTCAGCAAGAAGAGATACAAGTGTTCCAGGGACCCCATGACTCTTTTTGAATAGGGTGGGAGGAGCCAGAGGCTCCTCAACTGCCCTTGTGCTTATTGTCTAGCAATAAGACAAAGTTGGGGTTGGCCCCCGCTTTGGTTTGAAGATAATTTCAGACTGAGATGTCCCTTTATGAAATGGATGGGCTGGCAGAGCTGAGGCTGGGCATTAAGTGGGGATTCATGGATGTTAGAAGAGGGGAGAGAGGTATATTCAAAACACCCCTCCTAGAAATCAAGATTGGATTTAAGTCTTATTCCTGCTCCCCCGCCTTCCTTTTTTTTCTGATTTCCTCTGCATTTAGGTATGTTATCTTCCTGACTTTAAAAAAGAAGAAGAAGAATTTGTTGTAAAATTGAGTTTGAGGTAGAAGGATTCACTAATTTATCACAACACACACACACAATACACTTCTCTTAGTATTTTAGGACTTGGGTTACCTATGGTATACATATCATTCTTCAAAATCATAATTTAGTCTGAAAGCAAAATACTGAGAAAGTAAGACTATAAAATATTGAGGCGGGGTTTCATACCCAACATTAAATTAAAAAAAAAAAACTGCTTTGTGTTCACACCTTTTGTATATGTGAGAGAGAGAAGAAGAAAGGGAGAAAATGGGTAGCTACAGGATATGTCTTTATGGATCCTTAGTGATATGCATGGATAGATGATAGATAGGTAATGATGAGAAGAGAGAAGAAAGCTGGAGACATTATGTGATTGACAGTGTCTTAAGTGCATAGAACTTTAGAGTTTCCAATGCAGTTACACCTAGTTAGACAAAAATATATATGTCTGACCCCAGATCCTTCCTTCCATCCTGAGCATGCTTTGTCACGGTGTACCATGAGCAGCAGGAACCTGAGAGGAGATGGTAGCCACTGGGCCAGGGATTACTCCTTAGGTTCAATCAGAAGGGCCACAACATCTTCACAGGCTCAGTTCAAATCCCTGGGCCCATAGATTTCAGAGGGAGTTAGAGGGAGGTTGTGAGGATGGGCCCAGCTTAGAGGTGTCCAGGCAAGATGGAGCCAGAGAGGCTAAGGCAATGGTCCTGCTTTCCCTGCCTATCCAGGCTTTTCTCTTTCAGCTACCTCCCTGTGCAGCCCAGAGCCCTGTTGGTGAAAGAGTGTCAGGGAGACAGGGGTGTTAGGGAGAGGGTTGGAGCCACAAAAAAGACTTTAACCTTTGCATTCTCCTCCTCGACAGGAGCGGAGCATCGGAGAAGAAGCAGCCTCGTTTGTTTCTGGTGTCATCGTAGGTGTCCACCTTTGGCTTTGGGGGTACTTATTTTCTTATTTGTTTGTTTCTGATGGTGGTGTTAGGGGTGGGGTGGAGAAAGAAGCTGTCTCAGCAGTCACCTGGGTTTTCCCCTGTTCCTTATACCTCTCAACCCCCTGCCTGCTCTCTTCTAGCTTTCAGGCCCTGATTTTGATCTATTCTAATTGTAGTAAGACCTGGATAGTCATTGATAATGGGAATGGAACATGGTGACTTAAGAATGAAGGCAACCCTATGAGCCCAGTTCCATGAGAGAGAGGAGAGGCCCTGAGGATTCGGGGGACTCTTTGCCCTTCTCTCAGAGGCTCCTGAGGGCAGAGATGGAGGCCCATAGACCCAGGGCAGGTGGGGGTGGGAGGCAGTTAGTTGTAGAGGAGCAGAGTTATGGATGGAACATGGATGACAGAGGTGAGAAAGGAGAGGGGTGTGGGTGGTGGTGAAGGGGGACCTGGAGAGCTTAAACAGCTGTGCATGGGTGTGTGTGCAGGGTGTGTAAGAACTGGGAGGTGGTACTGCTGCAAACATCTGTAGATGTGGCACTGTATTTGTCTTAGCTGATAGGTTTGTGTGTGTGCGCGTGCATGTATGCATACACAGACCCTTACACATTCATGCTTTGCCCCTCAAGGAGACCATTTGCTTATGGCTGACCACTTCAGTCACCTTGTCCTCACCTTCCTGACTCCACAAGGCTCTCAAGCAAGTGAGCGGTGTGTTGAGTTGAAGGAGAGAACTGAGAGCCATCGGGGGAGGCAGTGCTTAGACAGACCTGAGGAATTCTCAGGCTGGCCTCTGAACAGGAGGAAACATACTTTGTGGGAAGACAAGGGTGGTATCTCTGGGGAGAAATCTTCCAGTTTATATCTCCATTTGCTTTAAACTCGTCTGCCTATATAGAGGGTTTTTTGGGTTTTTTTTGCAGCTTCCCCAATTTTTTTTTAACTGCCAATTCTTGCTTTTATCTGGTGCAATCCCATAGAAAATGCAAATATTCTGTAGCAAAAGAATAATGTATGATCATGTTCACAATAATGAACCACTAAGACAGAAATAAATATCTGAACCCACCCTCTTCTAAATACAGCTTTCATCTGTATCTTCAAGGCAAATTAACCTGATAATTGAAACAAAGAACAAATATGCTTTTTATTTAATTACCTGAGTATTTTCGAGAGAGTGGCATGATGCCAAAATATATTTTGGGACCCAAATTAGAAAGAGTCACCCAAAAGCTGCATCCAGAGGGCATAATTCAGGCCATATTTTTCTATACATGGGCTCCTTCAGGGACACAGACAATGGGTGGGCATCCGGACTGCAGAGGTGGGGGCGGGGACAGGCACTGGGAAAGCACGTGTGCTCCTTGGCTAACTGAGACACTTAGAGACTCAGATCAGCACCAGGGGTTTGGTGTGCTCTCTCCTCAGTCCGCCAGAATTTCCCTGGAAGGACTTGGGTGGGGTCTGTAGACCATTGCTCTAAGAACACTGCAGCAGAATGTGCTGCGTGCTGGAAGCAGGGAGCTCTGCTCCAACTGAGGCCTTCCTAGAGGGACTGAGGCCGGTGGGCCAAGAGCAAGGGGACATAATGCACACATTCTACTCCAGCTGTTAGCTTCTCCCAGGTCTGCTGTATCCAATTCTTCATAGTGGAAGGGTCTCCTCTGGTCAAATTAGCTGCCAAATAGTCACTAACATACAACTCCCCCTACTCCCCTCTCAAACCCATACACAGATCCCACAGGACACACATTTTGTCAATACCTTCCCTCTCCACCCACGATGGGCGCAGTCCACAGGAAGGCAAACTCAGACTTGCAGCCGCACCAACAGGGACACACATTCTTCTATTAATTCATCAGTTATTCATCAGGCACCCACTATTTTTTAGGCATAGTGTTAGATACCATAGAGTTGAATATGTATGAAACCACCTCTGACTTTGACAGACTGTCTCTTTTGCTACCCTCAAAGTGTCTTTTTTTGAAACTGGAGCAGCATGGCTTTATACAAACCAATCCCAGTTAACATGATGGTGGAGAGTTCTCTACTTCTTTCATGGCTTGTAGCTCTGTCTCCATTAGAATAAAGGCAAATGCCCCACTCATCATCATTTCTGAGCAGGCACTGTGGGAGATCAGGTTGTCAAGTCCACCCATACAAAACTAAACAAAACATTACTTCATCGGAAATCTAGACAGAGAGGGGGATTCCAAGTAGATAGTACCAGGACAATGTAGAATGATCTGTTTTCTTTTGTGCCCACCCACCCACCCCCCTTATATTTGGACACTCTGTTTAGACTGAGGTACTCTGGAGGAGCCAAAGCCACAGTAAGATGCAAGGGTAGATAGCTCTTTATCTAGCTATTTGGTGAATATTAGATATGTACCCATTTCTTTCCTGAACTTGGTTTTTTAGGAAATCCAGTTGAGTTGAATTTGGGCAATAAGTTGTGGGGGGCGGTTTCTGTTAGGCAAAAAAAAAACAAAAAACCCTTTCTGTCCTCCTCTCTGACAAAAATGTAGCTCTTACTGATCCTATTTCTTGCTAGGCTGTCTGGATGGTCCAGCTCTGGGTAAGGAATTGTGGAGCTAAGCTTGGGCCCCATAGAGGCAGGGGACTTGATTGGAAATTAGGGACAGAGAAGAAAGGGGAGAGTGCTAGCTAGCAACACAGCCTCTTTCCTACTTACTGGCCCAAGTCTCCAGGCAGTGGGTGAGGGGAAGGTGGAGGGGCAGAAAGTGTTTATTTAAAGTGCTTTTAAGGGATCTTGTGCTAGGGGAAATGGGGAAATCCTTGTAGGGGAAGTTGGTGGTATGTTTGAAGAAGTGTAGTCCCTATTTAGGATTGCTGGAATGTCTAGAGGATGTTAGGTATCCTATAAAGGGGTGTGAGGTGGTATACTGAGAAATACTTGAGGCGGTTTGTAGGTACAAAGAGGCCTATTGTTTCTCTGGGGCCTGGCATGGAGGATGCATTTAGGGGATACATTTAGCAGCACATCAGTAGGGTGGGTCTATCTCTGTGAGCGGGGAGGTTTCGCCTTTCTGCAACTGTACCCCACCATTGAGTGTTGTGCTCTCAGTTCTAGGAGGGTGAAGAATTGACGCTGTGGCCATTTCTAGAAATCCTTTCCCTTGGGTGAGGCTCTTGAGACCCTATGGAGGCAGACAGAGGGGTGAAAGGTGTGCCAAGCACAGCCCCGTTAGTGTCCTGTAACTTGGGAAATCAGGCCAACAACTTCAGCTTCCTACTGTCACTGTGTGTGGGGGGGGGGGGAGACACAAGTCCCTGGGCTTTGTCCTATTTCAAATTCCCCCCCCCACCTCACAATCATGCAGCAGTTATTCAGACTTTCCAGTCTTTGAGGGGAGCACCAAATGAAACCCACTGGCATGGCTTGCATCCATCTAACCAAGGCAAATAGCATTCAGGCTGGGCTTTGTCCTAGACTATGCAGAGACAGGCCCCCGGGACACATAAAACAACCTGGCTGGGTCTGATGGAGAATCCTGGGTCCTCTGGAGTGCACTTCGGTTGTTGTAGGATCCCTGTAGAAAGGAGCCAGCCCAGATCAGGCAGAGGGACGGACTTCAGGTATCCAAGTCATAGTGTTTGTTTGTTTGTTTTTAGAAAAGGAGCCCGGAGGAGGGTGGTGGAGTGATAGGGTAACTCGCGACCTGTCAGGCACCGCGGCTCAAATGGGAGTCCGCAACTCGATCACAGAGAGCTCCACCGATCTGAGAGTCCAGACCCTGCCTGCAGACCGGTGTGTGCCGTTTTCTGATTCTCCCGGACAGATGGGGATCCAGGTCGGAAAACCTTGTCGGAGAATGATTTTTCTCCCTGTGACTCCAGCTCTCCAGACACCTGGAGATGGAACCCGGGGTGAGGGTGCCGGGCTCGCGATTGGAGGCGCACAGGATGGGGGGGAGGAAGAGAAAGAGCTAGGGAGGGCCTCCAGGGCTGAGTCAAATCTCTGTGTGTTTCCCAGATTAATGTAAACTGTGATTCCCCAGCCTACCCTACCTGGAACTTTGGTGCTGAGAACAAGTTCCTGAGATAGTCTCATTTCTGCGCGGTGAAACAGGAGGTCGAGGCTCGCTCACACCCTTCATCTCCCAGTAGGGATCTTTTTCTCACTGTTTTGGCTTGAAAACCAATAAGGGAGGTTCCTGTCCATCCTAAAAGATTAAGATTACAGTCTGGGATGGGTCAGAATCTTAGAAGCACAAAGGATATCCTGATGCGAGAAGGCCGGTTGAGGTTGAGTCTCCAGTAATCTGGTTCTTTTTGAGGAGATATCACCCGATCTCTTTTCCCATCTTTGAACCCTGGACCTGGTGCAATATACCTTGGGTCAAAATGGAAAATGTAGAACCTACAAAGAGTGAGATTGGAGATCAAAACCACAAATGGCAATGGATTGGAGATGGCAGGCAGGTCTCGAGAATGTGTGAGGCAGCAAAAGGCTGAGAATCAGCACACAGACATAGTAGTTCCACCCCCTTCACCGTTCTCCGGGGGGAAGGGCGCCCCAATTGCACGCTCCGGCTCAACCCGGGAAGGGGGAGGGGCGGAGCCGGTGGGGGAACGAGGTGGTGACGTCAGACTCGGCGAAGCCAATCAGAGGCTGGTCTGGGGAGGGAGCACGAAAGGATGAATGAAAAGTCCGGAGCCGGAGCGCGCCCGGGCCAGAGCAGCGGCAGAGGCTGGGGAGGGAGCTAGGGAGATGAGCTCTGCTCTGCCCGCCTTGGCTCGGCGGAGGCTGAGATCCCGGCGAGCGCCTCCACCCCGGCGCCCGCTGAGCCCTGGCACCTCGAACTCAGGGCCATGGCGTTCCGTGGGCGGGAACGTGCCGGGAGGACCGCGCGGGAGAGCACGGATGGGCACACTGGGCTCGATGTAAGTGGCCTGGCCGGCTTGGGACACGAGGTGGGCTAGCGCCTTGGAATCCGGCGCCTCCGTGCGGGGCCTCCCGAACAGGGGCTGGCCGAGCCCCACACCCTCCTCGGGGCTCCGGAACCTCCTTGATTCCGATTCCTGATCGGAACCCCCACCAGCCTACGGCACCTCCTCTGGCTTCCGACCCCCGGCCATTTTCACAGCCCTGGGTTGTGGACCTGGATTTCTGGACCTCTTTGTACAAAGCCATTTCTCTGGGGGTCCTGTGGGCCCAGAGACTCGGCTCACCTTCCCGGCTTGCCTTCCGTTTTCTTCCTCCTTCCCCATCTCATGGGTGCGCTATCGGATCCCTTCCCGCGCGGTGTCTCTCCCTTTCCTTCTCTCCTAGAGACACTCGCTAGGGAGTCTCGGGCTTGCCTCCCCGCCCCCATTTCCCTCTCTCTTTGGGTTGCCGGGATTTCCCTGTTTCCTACTGGGACGTCTCCGGGGTTTTACCCCCAGGATTTCGCTGCCGGTTGCCCTTTTTAGTCGTTGGCTAGGATCCAGCTTCCACCCCCCCCTCCCCCCCACCCCGCGGCGTGAGCTCCACTTCGCTTCCACCGCCCTTAGGAGTTGGGAGATGTGGTGGAGTCGGCTACGCGGTTCCCCGCTACGACCCCACGCGGAGGCTTGGGCTTCGCTGAAAGCCAAGGCTCAGGCTATCGGATGCAGCTGGATCTTCCAGAGGAGGGGGCAGTGTAGACCCCGTGAGGTTTGGGTGGCCTCTGCCTCGGTCCCTGCAGTCTTCCCGGGTGGCACGAAAAGCCTGCGAGTCCCTCCTCCCAGGGACCTGCGGCACTCTGGCTTCTGGCTCGAATGTGGAGCGGGAAACCAGGCTTCGGAAGCTTCTGGGATTCGGGGGCGATTCCCGGACTTCGACGCCATCGGCCGTCGCATCCTTCCACGCCTTTTTTGGTCTCTGTCGTGTCTGTGCCGCAGCGTCCCCGAGTCTTTTTCTGTCTTGGACTCTGCTTCTCTCTCTGTCCTCCCCCTCTCCCAGTGTACCCTTTCCCCACCCTCCACCGGCGGGCGACCAGGAGGCTGCGGCTATACAGGCGTGGGCAGCGGCAGCCAGGAGGCTGCGTGGAAGAGGCGGCGACTGCAGCCAGGAGGCGGGGTTGGTTGTTATCTTTGGTTATCTAGCTGTATGAGTGGTGTGGAGTCTTCATAAAGCTAGATAACCGAAAGTAAAAATAACCCCATACACTGCGCAGAGGGGCCCCTGGGAAGCTGGCGGCACGGGCGGGCGGGAGGCCGAAGGGAGGGGCTAAAGCCGCGAGGACCCACGGGCCGTGGGAGGCGAGAAGAGGACCCGGCGGCCCTCGGGCCTCAAGACCGCACCGGCTGGGGCGTCTTTCCACCCTCCAACTTCGGTCCGCGCAGGTAGGAGTCGCAGTCCCCTTTCACTTTCGCCAGCCGCGATGCAATGCCTTCCACCATCGAGTTGCGGGGTAGCAAGAAAGCGGGTGATGGTTACCTCCCGAGACCGGGCCTTTTCTGGCAGTCAGCAGATTGGGTCACCGCCGGGGAACGCTGCTCCAAGGGAGATCTCTTGAAATCTCGTTTTGGAGTCATTCCGGGCAGTGCCTGGGGTTCCTGGCGCAGGCCTCCCCCGCGGGAGCTGGAAAACAGCTTCCCGCAGGCTATTCACACCTATTGCTGGGGCCGGAGAGTTTGGGGGCGGTCACCTGAGAATGCTAGTCTTGGCATTGATCTGCTCCCTAAAGCCCCGTCGGTCTATCCAGCTTGGTCGGGTGCTGAGAGTGGCAAAGCGAGAGATAGGCGGAGGGAGGCTGGAAGTACTAGGGGTCCAGGTTGGGTTGCTCAGAAAGAAGACACGGTGGCAGGAGAGCCTTTTTGCCCAGGCTGGGCTGGGTTGTGCGCAACGGAGTGCAAAGTATTTCTCAGCCCCTTGTTTTCGTATTCTTTCCTCCTTCTCACTCAGGACCTGAATTTGATGTTTTGCAAAGCTTCTCATGCCAGCTTTGTCTTCACTGGCCAAAGGGGTTGTGATGGGGTCTTTCAGGATACCCTACCTTCCCACCCCATCCTCCCTGACTTGGAAATCATCTCCAAGAGCAAATGGCCTCAAGGAGCTCAAACACAAAGGAATTTGTAGCGTGGTATTTATGCTGCTGGGAGAAAGCAAAGAATTAGAGAGATTAATCAGGGCCTTTCCTAAAAGAATCCATTTATCTGGCCTGACCTAAATATTTTAAGCAAAAGAGTGTTTAGGTGCAGTTGAGTGGAGGATGGTCTAGTCACTAGGGAGAATAAAAGTAACAGGCAGCAAAACTAGAAGTAGCTCCCTGTGCATTTATGACCTCTTCCCACCCCAACAAACCCCCACCATGCCCCCCTCCACCCCACCCCCGCATTCCAGAACACGGCAGGGCAGGGCAGTAAGGAGTCTAAAGAGAGCAGGAGAACTGGACAATCGACCTTGGACTGACTCCTGTTTCCCGTGTAAATTTAAAATTTCCTCCCAGGAGCTGATTTTATAGCTAGAAGATTATGATTCAATTATATATTATGTGGCAGAAATATTGGGGAATCCAAACTAAAACAATTGGGCTTCAGAGAGTCCAGAGTACATATGTCTTCTTTCTTCTGAGGTTTGGAGGAAAGGAAGATTAGCAGACTTTTTGTCTATTTCAGCTCTTTGAAATCTAGCTTTTTTGGGGGGGGGGCAACTGGAGACAGGATTAGGGAGAAAGGGAGTGGGACTGGGGCAAGCACTAATAATGCCTAACACCACACCGTATTTTCTCGTATTTCTCGTAAGAGCACTCTGCCTACAAGCCTTTCTTTGACCCTCCAGCCCTGTGAGGTAGCTGTTATTAACCGCATTTTACAAATAGGAGCCACACACTCAAATGAATTGCTAATGTCACTCAGTGGTTTCATATCCAATACTTTTTTTCTTCTCTACTTCTCTACACTTGCCTGAGGGAAGGGCTGAGAGGGTGAGGTGGATAGACTGAGATGGAGGTGAGAGGGGAGGGGATCCATGCACCAGGGGAGAAGGAAAGCCCACTGAGCTTTGCAAGGCCCGGTTGTGAACACGGGTTGACCTTTTTTCTTTTAACTTTTCTTATAGCTGGCTGGAAATATGTATTCTGGATCTGCTAAGGCTTATCCACGTGAGACTCAGAACCTATATTATTAGCCACACAATTTGGGTTTATATTATTATTTTCATATTCTATTAGCACATTTGACCACAGAATCTCCAAAGGAGAATAGAGGGCCTGAGGGAAGTGGTGGGTTGAGGGTTTACATCCTACAAAACAAGCTCCTCAATGGAAAGGGCAAATATAAGTCAAGAGAGTTGTGGGGGGTGATGGTTTGCATCTGCCTCATGTGTAGGTGTATAGATGGGGTTGTCAAGAGAATGATGGGTGACAATGTTTGTGAGCTGTATATGTCTGCTTATGAGGGTGAGAAACGAGTGATGTGTGAGCTGGTATGAGATTGGATGTGTGTGATCCATGATGGGTAGGAAGCTCTGGTGTGAGATTAGGAATTCCTGGCTACTTACAGCTATAAATCCAGTAGAGGAAGAGACAGTCTGGAATATGGAGGGGTTTACCAAATGCTGCCACCAGAGTCCTCCTTCTGCCTTCCCCACCCTTTATACCAAATAGCACCTTCAACTAAACCCAGTAGGAGAACTGATGGAATGGGGATACGTGGAGGCAGGGTTGAAATTTCTCTTTTGTATTATTATATTTCTATGTCCAAGAATTTTTAGGTCTGTTCAGATCTTGCTATATCCACCTATTCCTACTGGAAAACAAATTCGAAGCTGGTTTCTTTACCCATTTCTCTCCTCAGTCCTTTATCCCAGTACCCTCTCCTATTGAATTCTGAATCCGGGAGTTCAAAGGCAATTTTCTTCTAAATATTTGTCTCTAAAGTTTTGCATTTTCACTCACACCCTCACCCTGGGGCAAATTTTTCATAGGTCTAGGCATCAAAAGGGTTTTGTTGAAAGATCCTTGCAGTAATAGAAATCATCACAGTCAGAAGTCTAGGGAAAGAGAATGAGCAAATATGACTGAACAAGGTCTAGGTTTAGGTGCCATTATTTACCAGCTTCTGATCACATATTTGTTCAGTGGGGGTAAGAATTTGTATCCTCAGGATTGTTACAGGGAACAAATGAAGAATTCTGTATAGATAAAGATCTTATACATTACTATACCCACAGGTAATGAGTAATTCTTTGACTGCAGAGGGGATAAAGGCTACAGTTTGGAACAACTGTTTGAAAACATATGATTGATCTCAGAATACAAAAAGGACAGTTTTTTGGCATATTCTATACTGAGGATCTCAAAAGACTTAAATTTAAGGAAGTTCCTCCTCCTCTTCTAGCTTGAAATCAAGGAGGGACTCTTGGGACCTGAGGAAGCAGTGTCTAAAGCCTGGGGGAAGAGGAACAGACTCTGGGAAGTCTGTTAAGGAAAGAGGCTGGAGTCCATGTGGCAGAATGACCATTGTATTTTTTTCTCCTTAATAAATCTTACCATGTATTGGTAAGAGTACTTAGGATAGTAAACTGACTTATGTAGATAGATATGGCTTGTATAAATGACAATTCCAAATTTTTTTAATTAAGCTTCTAGAGTTACTAAAAAGAGTTTATTAAATTAAAGGACCAGTTAGATAGTGGGTGTAATTAACAAACTAAAGAGCATGCAGACTTTTCTTCATTGCTCAGTGACTCACAGAAGAAATGTTTCTGTCCTTTGGCCTCCCAGCCCCACCCCCGACGTTCTCAACCACCTACTCCCGATTCCCAAGTTTGATAACTTACCAGAGAGCACAGGCCCCTCTGCATTCTTCCACATCTGGAAGTCCTTCTTGAGTTCTGGACTTCCCAAGGCTTGGGAGTGGGAATCCTGATATTTATTTTTTCACCTCCTTTCCACTCGGATGTTCTGGGGATATTTGACCTTTCTTTCTCCCTTCCTTTGCTACTGAGACCTCAGAGATCTTGAGTAGTTATAGCACTGTCTCATCCAGGGCAGGGTGTGCCAACTTCCCTAGTTGTTAAATGAGTTTCGGTTAATGCTTTAAAATCACTGGAAGGA